AACAAGTTTTGAAATTAATTTGGATTTAAAATCGACGCTGGGGGCGCTGGACTCTGGCTTTCATGTACTCCAGCGTCGCTGCTCCGCGTCCTCCTCCTCCTTGTTCTGGTCCTCCTTCTGCTGCTGTCCCTTCTCCATTCCCCACCCTCCTCCTGCTGTTCCTCCACCTCCCGCTTTCTTCTCACATTTCACCCCGCGCCCCTCCCTCACTTCTGGTCCATCCATCTCTGCGCCAATCCGAAAAAAAGTAAATGTGATCAGGGGGCCGAGGACACGCAGAGTATCAGACAGCACAGGAATATACAGCGGATGTTTTTTTTTTTTTTTTTTTTTTTTTTTAAAAAAAAAAAAAAAAAAAAAAAAAAAAAAATGAAATGATCATAGCCGCGACGACGCGGATCGCAACGGCGGCGGCGCCCCGCCGATAATGGCGAGCTCATTAAATGCCAGCGGGATCAGCGCTGACAGCGACGACGCGGCACCTCACGGCGTCGCTTGTGATAGCGAGCGCGACGATGAGCGCGGCGGCGATGCAACGACCGCGATGTCGACAGTGACGACGGCAAAGATGACGATGACGACGACGACGACGAGGGCCCGGACGACGACGGCGATGACTGCGACGATAACGAACAGGACGAACGGACGGCCGCCCTTCGCGGGAGACGCGGACGGCCGCCGAGGCCGCGGCGAACGCCCAAATTCTACACGGCGGCTTCCGCAATGAGAAAGCCTGCGCTGCAAGGCTCTTCTCAACAGGGGCACCCAGGCGCCCCTGCAAAGAGGGCGCGGGTCTGACACGGGGATCGTCGGCTGGGCTCGCTGAGACGACGCCCTCCAAGTGGAGCTAGCCTCATCAGGGCCAGGCGATGATCCCAGGGTCAGACGTCAAACCCACGTCCTCTCTGCAGGGGCATCTTGGTGCCCCCGATGCGAATACCTCTGTGGCGCGGGCCTCATGTCAGCGAAGGCGGCCATGTGGATCTTACGCGGTTGACGTTCCGCGTGCTTTCAGCAGGGCCGCCCGGGTGGCCCTGCTGAGAACGTGCGATCGGAAGCGAAACGCTGTTGGCGCTGGCTGTATATGATGTTGATCTACCGATGCCGATCGTGGCCTGGTATCGTTATCACTGCCTGCGTCGGCACCGGTGCCCGCATCGATGGCGGCGACGCCGGTGCCGACGCGCGGAAAACCGTTTTTAGCGTCATCATCACCAGTCCAAGGGGGCCCCGCAGGAATCTGGAGGCGGAAAGGGTGGGGCGGGGAACGCGCGTCAGGAGGAACTGGAGGAGAGGCAGTGGGGGGAACGGAGGAGGCAGCAGCAGGACCAAGAAAAGGAGGAACACGAAGCGGAAAAGCATCACCCACAGACCGATTCAAGATTCAGCCCAACATCCCGAACAGCGGTTTGGGAGCCAGGGTGGCTCCAAACATTGTTTGCGCGTCCTCAAGATCATCATCCCCCCGCCCCTGATTTACCCGCGCCCTTGTCGTCGTCGCTGTCGTCGTCATTGCTGGAATTGGCCCCTGCCGTATCATTCGCCTTAACCCCCTTCCACGCCTTCTCCTCCATTCCAGTTCCTTATAGTTAACTCCTCCCTGTCGCACCCCGAGGCCAGTTTTTAGGGCGGGACGGGCTTTTCGCCTCAGACTTCCTCACCATACCATTTATGACTCTGAAGCTCAAACAGTGACAATAGCTTCACACATGGAGGGCGGGTCGTTTTCCAAATGTGGCTCTCGCCCTGCGCCGCGCACATTCGTTTAAACAATTTGCAAGAGCTTCGCGGATTGAGGTCGGGTCGTTTTCAAAATGTGGTTTTCGCTATTGCGCCGCGCACCTTCGTTTTAAACAGTTTGCAAGAGCTTCACGGATGGAGGGCGGGTCGTTTTCAAAATGAAGCTCTCGCCTTTGCGCCGCGCACGTTCGCTTTCAACGTTTTGCAAGAGCTTCACGGATTGACAGCGGGTCGTTTTCAAAATGTGGATCTCGCCTTGGCGCCGCGCACATTCGTTTTAAACATTTGCACGAGCTTCACGGATTGAGGGCGGGTCTTTTTCCAAATGTGGCTCTCGCCTTGGCGCCACGCACACTCGTCCTAAACATTTGCAAGAATTTCACGGATTGCGGGCGGGTCGTTTTCAAAATGTGGCCCTTGCATCAGCGCCGCGCACATTCGTTTCAAACATTTGCAGAAGTTTCACGGATTGAGGGCGGGTCGTTTTCAAACTGTGACTCTCGCCTTAGCGCCGCATGCACTCGTTTGTAAACGTTGCAAGAGTTTCACGGACTGAGGGCGGCTCCTTTTCAAAATGTGGCTCCCGCCTTAGCGTCGCGAGCATTCGTTGTACAACTTTGCAAGAGTTCCACGGATTTCCATGACCAACGTACCAGAGATGGTGTTTTGGAAGGATTCAAAATTATGCGGGCGCAACAGTTATCTTGATTCGCTCTGTTGAAGTCCCAAAAATGGCGTTCTGGCACAAGTCTGGATCGTCAAGACGCCGCACTCAGGTTGATACGTGGCGTTGACATCCCGAGAGCAATGATTTGGCACGCTTCAAGATCTTCAAACTGTTGTCTTCCAACGGAGCAGTTCCCTCAATGGAAATGAACCGTTGTGGGGGCCTATGAAGAGAGAGCTTGGAGGGAGGGTTAATTCCAACATCGTTGATGACTCTGGGGTTTCCACTGATCCTCCTTCTCCTCCTCCTCGTCCTCCTTCTCCCCCCCTCCTGTTCCTCCCCTTTCTTTCCCCCCCTTTCCTCCCCCCCTCATCCCGTTCCTCCTTCTCCTCGTCTTTCTTCATCCTTATCTTCTTCTCCTCGTTCTCATTTTCGCGTTCGTATTGCTCTTTCTCCTGGTATGTATCGCCCCTCCTCTCCCGGTTCTCCTCCTCGCTCTTCTATATACCTCTCCTATCGCTGGAGATTTCAACATGTACTAAAGCATGGCGACCCCCCCGCCTGAGACTTCACATGACTCAGAAATAATGCCTTCGCCTTGGCGCCGGCTACCTGCCCCCTCGGGGCAGGGGCGCCTGGGCCCATCCTCGGGCGCAATTCGATATCAGAAGTGTACTGTGACAGGTAGGGTTGGCTCGGTTCTGTCTGACTCCTCCTCTCTCCTACCTCTCGGAGCCCAGCTGTGAGAAACTCTCAAGCAAAACTGACCAGAATACCTCGCGCGGCACAGTTGCGAGGAGGTCTCAGGCGAAATGGGCCCGACCATCTCACGCGCGGCGTCTTGGAGCCCAGAGTTGCGACGATTGATCAGGCAAATCTGGCCGGAGTACCTCGAGCGCATCATCTCTGAGCCTGGAGTTGCGTGAGAGCGTCAGGCGAAATTGGCCAAACGATTTCTGGCGCGGCATGTCTGAGCCCAGAGTTGCGAACATGTCTCAGGCGAAACCGGCCAGACCACCTCAAGTCAAGAACATTTCGGAACCCAGAGTTGCGAGGATGTTTCAGGCGAGCCAGAGCGGACAACCTCGCGCGTCGCAGCTTCAGGCCCAGAATTGCGAGGATGTCTCGAGCCCTTTGGGCCAGACCACCTCAGGCCACAACAATTCTTAGACCAGAAATGCGAGGATGTCTCAAGCGAAACGGGCCAGACCACCTCGCGCGCGGCATCTCTGAGCATGGAGTTGCGATGATGTCTCAGGCGAAACGGGCTAAACGGCCTCAGGTCAGAGTATATCAGAGCCCTCGCGCGACATTTTGGAACCCAGAGCTGAGAAGCTGTTGCAGGCAAAGTTAGCCAGACCACTTCGCACGCGGCATCTCAAAGCCAGAGCTGCGAGGATGTCTCAGGCGAGTTTGTCTGGACCACCTCGCGCCTGGCATCTCGGATCTCAGAGTTGTGAGAATGCCCCGGGCGAGCTGGGCTGGGGCATTTTGGGGCCCAGAGTTGCGAGGATGTCCTTTGCGAATCGGGCTGGACCAACTCCGATCCCAGGGTTGCGACGATGCCTTTGGCGATTATTGGGCCAGTCTACCTCGCGAAAGGTATCTCTGAGCCGAGAGTCGATATCTCAGGCGAAATTGGGCGGGACCGCATCAAGCCAAGACACATCTGAGCCCGGAGTTGCAAGGATCCTGAGGCGAGCCCGGCCACGCCTCTTCGCGCGCGGCATCTAGGAGCCCGGAGTTGCGAAGATGTCTCAGGCGAAGTTGGCCAGACCACCTCGCGCGCGGCATCTCGCAGAGTTGGGAGGATGTCTCAGGCGAGAATGTATAAAGCAGAATTGGCCAGATCACCTCGCGCGCGGCATGTCTGAGCCCAGAATTGCGAGGATGTCTAAGGCGAAACGTGCTGCACCTCCTCAGGTCATGGGGCATCTCAGAGCCCAGCGTTGCGAGAATATCACAAGCGAAACGGACCAGACCACCTCGCGCGTTGCATTTTGGATCCCAAAGTTGCGAAGAGATCCCAAGGTAAAGGGGCCAGGCCACCTTGCTCCTGGCAGCACGGAGCCCAAAGTTGCGACGATCTCTCAACGCAATGTGAGGCAGCACAATGGGGGGTGATGCAACAGGAATGCAATCCCATGCGTCGTAACGCAATGCCGTGCGCTGCGATGCAATTGTACACCATGCAAGTGAAACGCATACACAAAATGCAAGTGCAGATGGGCATGAATTCAAGGTTCCACTGGGGGATGCGGGATAAAGAGAGGGAGAGAAGGAGCAGGAGGAGGAGGAGGTGAGGAGGAGGAGGAGGAGGAGGAGGACGAGGAGTTGTTTTCCATAGCACCCCATGCAAGTTGGCATGCACTACAGTGCAACACAAGTGGCAGGAGGCGGGCTGGCAACAGATCGACCACATCGGAAACGCACTTGGCAGAACAGAGGCTCACTTAGCAGGAACACGACTTCCAGGAAATCTTAGGTGGCGGAAGCTGACTGGGCTACCTCGAAGCTGCCCCACAGGAGGGAGAAGAGACCGAGAGTCATTCAAATGCGGGCCCAGGGTTGCAATCGCGGTTCGGGCAGTCCCTCAGCTCGGCATTCGAAACGGAGCCGGCCTGGATGCGTCCCTCCCCCACTCGCGAGCCGCCTCGATCCAGCCTTCGAGCGGCATGTTCGAGTAGGGCTGGTAGATGACGCAGTGTGGATTCAGGATCGCTGGCGCCTGCGAGAAGCTGCTCTTGGCTATGACAAGGACCCTCGCCTGGGCCATGTCGGCCCACGAGTCCAGGATGTCCCCGTCAAGGTGCACGGTAATGTTCCTCAGCCTGTAGCTGTTCAAATCATTGGAAGCGTAATTGCCCGCGGTGGAGCTGAAGACGTGCACGCCTGCGTCTGGCAGCATGATGCGTATGCGCCGCGCCACCTCGTAGTACCAAAGTCGGATGTCATCCTGTGGTCCTTCTCGAAGGGAGCCGTTGGCGGCCACGACGTCGCCTCGCCGCAGGTGCACCGCCATCAAGGGGGGGCTGCTTCTGCCCAGGCTCCTGATCCGGCATCCAGGCGGGCCGCCCGACGAGCATAGTGGTCGACCCCCGCAGCGGCTGCAAAAACCACGGCTTCAAGGGGTCTGACATGCGAACGTCGGGCCCCTTACCTACCACGTGCGTGGGCCCCGTCGGGCACGACGAGTTCTTTCATTAACGCGGTGCAGAACACGTTCAGCCCCCTGTGGTCTAGGCCGAGAGGCAGGGGTCCTCTATGAACAGGTCCCCTGGCACGCTGAGCCCCAGCAGCCCCAGCCGCGGCGGCGAAGACGTCCGTCCCGTGCGACTGGTTGCAAGTGCGGGCCTCCGAAACTCATGCCGAGGTTGGCGGCGATGGCCGCCCACAAGACAGAGCATCCTGCAGCCTGGCACCGGCTCCGTCGACCCGCTCCGCAGCGTATAGAGTCATCGGCTCCCGCCCGGGCGCCAGCCTGCAGACCCTGCAGTCCGCCAGCCTCAGGCCTTCCCTGCGGGCGCCGCACATCGACGAGGCGCCACTGAGCCGCTGGTTGCCCTGCCGCTCCACGCCCGTCGGAACGCCGGGGGGCGCGGGCTCCCGCTGAAGCTTCAGGCCCCTGGCGGCGCAGCCGCAGGCGGTGGCCAGGGCGAGCAGGCGCGCAACCGCCATTGCGCCAAATGGGCGGGCTTCGCCGTTGATCCGCCTCCTCCTCCTCCTCCGACGACGACGACGACCACCACGACGACAGTAATCTCCTCCTGCTGCTCCTCCTCCTCCTCATCCTCCTCCATGCCGCCGCGCCAGGCAGAAGAAGGCACGGTACAATGGACTAGATACGACTTGTAAATAAATATGAAGGAGCCGACATGTCTTGATACAAATTGGCTACGGCTTCTCGAAACTCACCTTTGCGGTTTGGCATGACAATCGTCCCTAACATCACCATCCCCGCATGTTTCTCCTCACCCCCCTCCTCCTCCTGCTCCTCCTGCGGAAGAAATCCGTCACCACGTGGGCCACTACGCCTTGATTGCGCGTTGACTGGACAGCATTCTTTAAAGTGCCCGATCGGCAACCAAGGATACCGACTCGTGCCAGGGCGGCCGCAGGCTCCATCTCCTCCTCTTCCTCCTCCTCCTCCTCCTCCTCCTCCTCCGCACAGTTCGCATCGACACCAATGTCATCACCACCACCGCAACGATCATCCATCATCGTATTCACCAGCAGCAACACCATTACGGGCATCATCACCACCGTCATCATATGCTTTTGCTATTTCGTAGCCAAGTTCAACACAATCATCATCCTCCTTATCTCCGCCTCTTCCTCCTCTTCCAACTCCTTCTCCTCCTCCTCCTCCTCCGGTTCCTCCTGTTCCTACTCCTCGCATCATCCTCATCCTCGTCGTCATCGTCATCGTCATCATCATCATCATCATCATCATCATCATCATCAACATCATCAACATCATCATCATCAGCGTCATCATCATTATCATCACCGTCGTCATCACCAACATCATCATAATCATCATCGTCACCGCCGACGCCACCGACGCCTTCATCATGATCATCATCATCATCATCATCATCATCATCATCATCATCATCAGATTCATCATCAGCATCAGCATCATCATCACCATCGCTTCCACCATCATCGTCCTCATCCTCATCCTCATCCTCATCCTTCTACTTAGCATCCTCATCCTCATACTCATCCTCATCAGCATCAGTGCATCAGTATCAGCATTAGCATCAGCAACAGTATCAGCATCATCATCAACATCACCATCATCACCATCACCAACACCACCACAATCAGCATCAACATCATCATCATCGTCATCATCATCATCTCCGATCGCCTCCTTCAACTTGTCAAGGGCGTCGTGGTGCACCTCCTCGTCCATCTCCGTGTGGTACTTCTGGAGCATGCCCTCCTGCTCGTTGACTCTCTCCTCGTCGGCATCCTCGCAGTCCTCGACCTCTTGGGGAAGGGATGAGCCAGACACGGATATGGAGACGAAAAGGGGCGAGGATAAGCAAAAGAAAAGGGAGGGGAAGGAGACAATGATGAAGACACGGAACACCGAGAACAAGAACATATAGAAATTGGAAGAGAAAAGGAACATTAACAGGAACGCAAAACACCACGTGTGATAGAACACATTTCGAATCAACATGTCGGACGGCAAACTAGGAACACCGCACAAGCCGAAACGCAACCGACAAACTCGTGTTTCGAACCTTGGCCTGGGCAACAACTTGATAATGAAATTGCGGCAGAAGGGGGCAGGAGAAGGCCGAAAAGGGAAACGTTACAGTCGCGTTGTGTGGGCCTCCCCGATGACTCAGCCCACCATTCATTTAAACACACAACGGATACAACGGAGGAGGAATAACGGCAGAACAAACAGCAAACGGGAGGAGGACGAGGAGAAGAGGAGGGGGACACATCCCGCGCGAAAGCAAGAACAATAAGATAGAGAGCCGGAATTCCACCTGCTCTCTTGGCGTGAGTGGTTTGGAGAGTTTCCTCTTCCATCTTCCTTCGCTCTCTTCGGCGAGGGGTTTACACCTGCCCAGGCCCTGGAGGGGGGCCTCCACGATGAATCACAAATGATTGATCATACTTGGGTGTTGGGCCATTGTTGGTCTCCTGGGAGGAGCCGCTACTCAATAACCGCACCCTTATTCGATCAAACTCTTCAAATAATGGCCCGTGCAGTTTCCGATGAGGCGGCCACGCCTGGAGCACTTGTAACGTTTCCGCTCTGGTCGGCATCGGCAGTGCCCTCTGCGGTTGGCGTGGCAGAAACGGTGCGATGCATCGATTCGGGGACCTGCTGCCCCGGTCCGTGGGGCAGTTTGGGCGGTGCTTCTGCCACCCAAAGCATGCGCAAATGCGGAAGTTGCTGCGCAGATTGACTCGTTCAGACCTGGTCTCCCGCTCCTCTTGGCGTCGGCGGGTACGCATCCCTGCGGAGAACCGTACAACTCTGCCCCCATCGTCCCGCTCGCAGTGCTGGACAGCATACCAGTGTCGGATCTGACTCTCGGCCCAACCTTGGCCGAGCCAGTAATCCATGTCCTCGCAAAAAATATTAACGCGGGGACCACCCCAATTGGGCGGCGCCCCCACAGGGCCACGTGAACGGCCCCGTGGGACGCGATACGCCGTATAGGCGTTGGAGCTGGTCATGCCCCACCCAATGTCCATGAGGTCCTCGGGCGCAATCGTAGTCGCAAGCCCGACTCTCTGCCTCAGCGTGCTTCCACGCAGTACGTCTGCTCCCGTCGGCATGACTGTTTCTGCCGAGATCATCCCCTCGTGCGTTTCCGCAGTATTGGGTAAGCTGGCATTATGTAGCTCGGCCGGCGTAGCAGGGGCCGTCTCAGCTTCGGAAGTGTCCCCGTCGTACGCAGAAGCGTCTCCGCCACAGTCGGAGGGCATGTCGTCGAACGCACGAGCCATCACCTTTCGGTGGAAATGGACGTATGTAACAAGGGTACTTGCAGAAGGGGGATCAAGTTCGGGCCAATCGACGTACCCCACGTCCTCGATCGCTTCTTGTCAAAAGGGCCGCGTCCCCTCCCTGTCCCTTCCCTTCAGAATCGCACTGGCTCTGAAAATGTTTACCGCAAACGCATCGGTTACACAGCATCCTCTTCCCGTTTCGGTCCATGGGGTTGAGTTTCCTGCTGTTCCCCTTTCCCATGGAATTGCGTTTATCTGGACCCTTGGCCTAGACAATTTCTTCGATCTCGGCTTCGGGAAAGGTGGCAATAAATGTGGCGAAGCCTGTTCCGTGTAACCGCCGGTTGCGACGACCACCCTTTCCGCTACCCTTCGCCCGTCGGTGAAATAGGGCCCGTTCGTTTATTTGGGCCGGTCACGTGCGTGACCAAGGGGGGTGGGATACGTCGCGCTGGTCGGGCCACGTCGGGGGTGCGCCCTGGGTGCCGCAACATGCCCGTAAACACCGCAGTGCGCCTGCGAAAAACAATCGCCTGCGACCCTACAATCACGACGTGCCTGTGACCAACGCCACAAAAACTTGCGATCCGAGCAACGCGACGTGCCTGTGAACACCAGTGTTTTTGAAGAGCGCAGCGCCCGTGAACACAACAGCGCCTGTGAACATCAAAGCGCCCGTGAACACAGCGCCTGCGAACACCACGACACCTGTGGAAACCACATCGCCTGTGCACACTACACACCCGGAAAACGTAACAGCGCTTGTGAACACCACAACGCCTGTGAACACAGCGCGCGCGAACCCCGCAGAGGCTGGGGACCAGCGGCTATGCGCAAGCACCAAAACAAGCACTAGCACTAGCAGTAGCAGTAGCCGTAGTAGTAGCAGCAGCAATAGAAGTAGCATTAGTTGTAGTAGCAACAGTAGTAGTACTACTAAGAACAGTAGTAGTAGTGGTAGTAGTACTACTAGGAGTAGTAGTCGTAGTAGAAGAACAAGAAATAGTAGGAGCATTAGTGGTAGTAGTAGTAGTAGTAGTAGTCGTAGTAGTAGTAGTAGTAGTAGTCGTGGGAGTAGTAGAAGTAGTATAATAAGTAGTAGTG